GAAACTCTGATTTGGACACCGGAAATATAGTCCCGTTAGCGGACAACTTTGGTACAATTAAACATTCCGACAACTCCTGCAACGCCCCTGGTGCCAAGCTGTATCATCCAAATAATGTTCCCTTGGGTTTTCCAGTGGCGTGGAGAGAGGCGATTTGCTGTTGGGAACCAGCTTATCATCCTTGAAGATTAATCCCCCCAGGTCTTGTGGATTTCGTCCCACACAATCGTCACATTGTGACGGACGGATGCCAGCAAAAAAAAAAAAAAAATCCCAATCAGAAGAATTACCCCACAGTTGAAAAAAAAAAAAGAATGCCTAGGTTAAATCCGTACTTTACAACATTTTGATTTGTTCTTATGGATTTCGTCCCACACAATCGTCAAATTGTGACGGACGGATGCCAGCAAAAAAAAAAAAAAAATCCCAATCAGAAGAATTACCCCACAGTTGAAAAAAAAAAAAGAATGCCTAGGTTAAATCCGTACTTTACAACATTTTGATTTGTTCTTTCAGTGTTCATTGCACCAAAGAACTTGCTTTTACTGACGACAATCACTTGGCCCTTTTGAGGGAGATTGGTTTCCAAAAATCAAAAACTTCTTATTTGGAGTTTATTTCTATAACAATACCACTTGGATATAAAACATATTAAAGGCAAAGATAATGTTATTATTTGTTATTTGTACAGACATTAATTTCACTGTACATTTAAATTCTTTTACTGCTTGTCTTGTAAGTTGTTGAGTAATTTTCGTGAACCTTTTGAAAAAAAACATAAATTATTTTTTCTGCTTTTTAAAGAAGGTGTCATGGCATATGTGTAGGCTTATTTTTAGCCATCTCCACTTATCTGCCCCTTGATTTGCTTTGATATGGACGTCATCGAGTGCAGTGTCACCCCGTATTCACCCGTTTGTTGATTTCGAAAAGTTGGTGCCTTTCCATTGCGTTCTCTTTGTTCTAAAGAATGCTTTTAGGTAACGCAGTTTCAAGAATGTATTACTAGATTACTGGATAGTTTTGATTTTAATCCCTACATATATACCGACATATTACCTTGCCGGGGGAGATATGTTCGCTGTATTATCTAACATTTACCAGACGCTATATAATTAAACGATTGTACTCTTTAAGTATGTTTGTGTTTGAATAAATTGCTTTACGTATATATATATATATATATATATATATATATATATATATATATATATATATATATATATTTATATATATATATATATATATATATATATATATATATATATATATATATATATATATATATGTTGTTTCCTTATATTTGAATTTGTATTTTTAAAGAAATGTAAAACTTATAAGTAAATTGAAAAAGTTTTAGTATCACAAACTGTTGTATCGTTTTCCTTTGAATACTGGTCTTCTGTCCTTTGTTACGCATTGATAATTATACGAGTCTAATCTTAAGACAGATTCCATTTTCAAAAACCATAAAAAGTTGCGTAACAAACAGTAAGTTATTTTCACATATTAAAATTATGCCCGGTGACCTGATCAGCTGGTAAATCAGTTCCTGTCCAGAGACCCAGTCAGCTGGTAAATCTGTTTCTGCCCAGATACCCGGCTCAGCTGGTAAATCAGTCACTGTCCAGAGACCGTTCAGCTGGTAAAACAGTTCCTGTCCAGAGACCGGTTCAGCAGGTAAATCAGTTCCTTTCCAGAGACAGATTCAGCTGGTAAATCAGCTCCCGTTCAAAGACCAGATCAGCTGGTAAATCAGTTCGTTCACACGTGGAGAATCGATGAGACTCGAGCAAATTCTGAAAACAAAATAGATACCTAAAGGATGTTAAGTGGACTAAAATACGGCCCCAAAATATGTGCATTCAAAGGAAGGGGGTGGGGGAGTGTAACGACTCCCCCTCCACCCGCCTGTCTGCGTACACTCGTTTCTAAATAAAAATTTAAGTTAAAAAGGAGACGAACACCGTTACGATTGACTGATGCTATGGGTCTTTAGTACCTGTTATGTGTCCTTAGTACCTGTTATGTGCCTTTAGTACCGTTATGTGTCTTTAGGGTGACTGGGTGGCCGAATGGTCTAAACTGAGCAAACCTCAAGTTGGTGGTCTGGTGTTCAAGTTCAGCCAAAGGCCAGTCAAGCATTAACATCACCCCGGGTGGATGAGACTCGTTAACCTCGGTCGGCAACTCATCTAAGAGAAGGAAACTCTGAATTCAAACCCGGAGTTGGAGTCCCGTAAGGCGTAAACAATGACAATTCCTGCAACCGAACCCATCCCTGGTCGTCTTGACGTAGAGTCTTACCACTGGATATTGTATGCTCGGACGAGAGAGTGAGGTAGACGCCGCCCAACACTTTAAACAAAGTCACCCGCGAGAGTCATCAGTCACAAGACGACACGATGGTCCTCGTCGATCCTCGCCGAACGAAATATAATGTGTCTTTAGTACCTTATATGTGCCTTGAGTACCTTATGTGCCTTTAGCACCTTAAATGTGCCTTTAGTACCTTATATGCGCCTTTAGTACCTTATATGTGTCTTTAGTACCTTTTATTTGTCTTTAGTACCTTATATGTGCCTTTAGTACCTTATATGTGCCTTTAGTACCTTATATGTGCCTTTAGTACCTTATATGTGTCTTTAGTAACTTATATGTTCCTATAGTTCCTTTTATGTGTCTTTAGTACCTTTTATGTGTCTATAGTAACTTGTATGAGTCTTTAGTACCTTATATGGGCCTTTAGTACCTTATATGTGCCCTTAGTACATTTCATGAGCCTTTAGTACCGTTTATGTGCCTTTAGTACCTTATATAAGACTTTAGTACATTTCATGAGCCTTTAGTACCTTTTATGTGTCTTTAGTACCTTATATGTGCCTTTAGTACCTTATATGTGCCTTTAGTACCTTATATGTGCCTTTAGTACCTTATATGTGTCTTTAGTACCTTATATGTTCCTTTAGTTCCTTTTATGTGTCTTTACTACCTTTTATGTGTCTATAGTAACTTGTATGAGTCTTTAGTACCTTATATGGGCCTTTAGTACCTTATATGTGCCCTTAGTACATTTCATGAGCCTTTAGTACCGTTTATGTTCCTTTAGTACCTTATATAAGACTTTAGTACATTTCATGAGCCTTTAGTACCTTTTATGTGTCTTTAGTACCTTATATGTGCCTTTAGTACCTTATATGTGCCTTTAGTACCTTATATGTGCCTTTAGTACCTTATATGTGTCTTTAGTACCTTATATGTTCCTTTAGTTCCTTTTATGTGTCTTTACTACCTTTTATGTGTCTATAGTAACTTGTATGAGTCTTTAGTACCTTATATGGGCCTTTAGTACCTTATATGTGCCCTTAGTACATTTCATGAGCCTTTAGTACCGTTTATGTTCCTTTAGTACCTTATATAAGACTTTAGTACATTTCATGAGCCTTTAGTACCTTTTATGTGTCTTTAGTACCTTATATGTGCCTTTAGTACCTTATATGTGCCTTTAGTACCTTATATGTGCCTTTAGTACCTTATATGTGTCTTTAGTACCTTATATGTTCCTTTAGTTTCTTTTATGTGTCTTTAGTACCTTTTATGTGTCTATAGTAACTTGTATGAGTCTTTAGTACCTTATATGTGCCTTTAGCACCTTATACGTTCTTTTTATGTCTCTTTATTACCGTTTATGTGCCTTTAGTACCTTATAGAAGACTTTAGTACATTTCATGTGCCTTTAGTACCGTTTATGTGCCTTTAGTACCGTTTATGTGCCTTTAGTACCTTATATAAGACTTTAGTAGATTTCATGTGCCTTTAGTACCGTTTATGTGCCTTTAGTACATTATAAGTTCCTTTAGTTCTTTTTATGTGTCTTTAGTACCGTTTATGTGCCTTTAGTACCTTATAAGTTCCTTTAGTTCTTTTTATGTGCCTTTAGTACCTTTTATGTGCCTTTAGTACTTTATATGTTTCTTTAGTTACTTTTATGTGTCTTTAGTACCGTTTATGTGCCTTTAGTACCTAATATGTTTCTTTAGTTACTTTTATGTGTCTTTAGTACCGTTTATGTGCCTTTAGTACCTTTTATGTGCCTTTAGTACATTTCATGTGCCTTTAGTATATTTCATGTGCCTTTAGTACATTTCATGTGCCTTTAGTACATTTCATGTGCCTTTAGTATCTTGTATGTGTCTTTAGTACATTTCATGTGCCTTTAGTACATTTCATGTGCCTTTAGTACATTTCATGTGCCTTTAGTACATTTCATGTGCCTTTAGTACATTTCATGTGCCTTTAGTACATTTCATGTGCCTTTAGTATCTTGTATGTGTCTTTAGTACATTTGCTATGCCTTTAGTACATTGCATGTGCCTTTAGTACCTTTTATATGCCTTTAGTAACTTTTATGTGTCTTTAATACCACCTAGTGCCCATTTTTGTATTAATTAATCCATTCAAGGAATATTCAAATAATTGGTTAAAGCAGTTTTATGAAACTATAAAGGAGGACAAAATCATACCGCAGACTAAAATTATGATTGCTTAAGTTCAAATATCTTTTATTTTTTGTTTTGTATCATCTGCTAAAGAAGAAGGCGCGTAGCCCAAACCTCCTTTTAAATGAGTCTTTTCTTTTCCTTCCAAGCCCAACAGACACTATTGTTCCCCCTATTTCCCCGTAGTGTATCGACGCCACAAACAGTTCAAGGAAGCGTTGCGGTGTTAATTCTCTTCTCTGAACGGCGGACTTCCTCAAATCCTACCGTAAAGACTCCTGGCGCCATAACGTCAGCCGGCGATTCTTTCTGAATAGATAATTTAGATTCTACTGACAAGAGTTTCTAATGGCTTAACGCAGAGTTTCTAATGGCTTAACGCAGAGTTTCTAATGGCTTAACGCAGAGTTTCTAATGGCTTAACGCCGATGACATTTCGTTTCAAGTAGGTCATGTTTTCTTGACGGAGAGACTATATTAAAAACCAACGACAAATGGAGTGTTTCAAACATAGTTGTGTATTCTCACATTTACATAAATCCATGAACATTTTTTAACGCCTACAATAAAAAAAAATGCAGGTTAGATCCACTGGATAGTAAAGCTTTGACTCGTCTGGACAGCTTTAACCCCTCTTCACACGCCCGGCAACCCCCGAAAATACTTTTACCCATGTCATTGACACTGTTGGGCTAACGAAATACATTGGAGACTTTCTATGATAGAAGGGGGAGGGGGGGAAAAGCAATTTGAATGATGGCAAGGTACAGTCACATGCATGATGAGACGGCAGAGCCAAATAATGATGGGAATGAAATGCAACTTAAATAATGGGAAGACAGAGCCAGATGAATGATGGGAGGGGAGAGCCACTTGAATGATGGGAAGGTAGAGCCACTTGAATGCTAGGATAGTATTGCCACCTATGTGATGAGAATTAAGGCCCCTCTGAATGATTGGGAGGTAGAGCTACTTGAATCTTGGGAGGGTAGAGCCCATTGAATGCTGGGAAGGTAGAACCACCTGCGTAATGAGAATGAAGACCCATTTGAATGATGGGGAGGTAGTGCCATTTGCATGATGGAAAATTAGAGCAACTTGAGTGATCGCAATTTATTGCCGATTCAATTATAGAAATTAGAGCTACTTGAATGATTGGAAAGTAGAGTCATTCAAGTGGTGGGAAGGGAGAAATAAGTAAACGCCTTCGATCCCTAACTCTAAATTCTTTAAATTCAAAAACTGAGCCTTTATGAAACAAACACAAAAAGACTTATGCTAGAATAGTTTCAAATGTGATCTTTCATTCCGTGATATAGCTGAAAGAAACCTAATTCCAAATGTAAATGTTCACTCCGTGATATAGCTGAAGGAAACCCTGGTTTCAAATGTGTAAGTTCATTCCGTGATATAGCTGAAAGAAACCCTGAATCCAAATATGTATGTTGATTCTGTGATATAGCTGGAGGAAACACTGGTTCCAAATGTGATCGCTCATTCCGAGATATAGCTAATTAGCAATTAAAGAATTTCATCGAGAGAAAACTCAATCAAGGAAAACTTCTATATGCCGTGAAAAACTAAATTAGATTATTTTTATTTTTTTATAGGCATGCCATGCAAATATTGAGAACCGATGAAATGAAATAAACGTTAGAATACAACATATACGTTGTTATTTTCTTGTATGCGATATCTGATAGAAAATCAAGTCTTTCTACAGCGAATTATATAAATCTAAAGTAGTAATAATCATACGTATTAAGAATATTACTTGTTAAGATGTTAGAGTCTAAAATTCGTCATATTATGATTGATAATTTTTTTTTTTTTAAATAGCCAATGTTAAAACGCAGATAACATTGAGATCACCCACCCAACCATCCGCAGACACGAACTTAAAAGGCACACCAATAAGATTGTTTTCAAAGATAACATTTTAAAACAATTAAAAGCCACACTACTTAAAAACAAAACAAAAATTCCCTCGAAAAGACTATTCAATCTTTTTTTTGGGGATGGGTTTGTGTCTAAACACAAAGTCGGGGTCACTCTGTAAAGGAACGTCCACACTAGTGGCGCATATCCCCGTGAGGAAGACGTCTTCTAGCAAGATCGGCTCCGACCTGATGGCTGCGTGGTACAACAGCGAGACCGTGGTCGCTGGGTAGCCCTGGAGCTCACCGAGGACGAACCGTGGTGGGAACGTAAAGTTCGAGTAGTCTTCCTTCGGCGTCATCGGGTCACTTCTCCTTCGGGACATCCGCCAGTCGGTCCTGATGCTACCGACGATGAAATCTGGATACTGATGACTTTTTGCGTCCATGACTCTTACGATGTTCGAAACGTTCACCACGACATCATCGTCCATGCGAACGACGTACTTTACGTCACTGCAATAGGTGTGAGTCCACCTCAGCATCGACACGGCCTTCAGGCGAAGGTTCTGAAAGACATCGAGGAAGTCTTCTTGCACTATGTCTCCGTGGTTGTGGTACTCGTCGCTCAGTCTCGTCTGAAGTCTCGTCGCGTTCTCGTTGCACGGGAAGGCGCCTGTGAAAAACAACAATCTTGCGCCGTTGGACGTGGTTCTCACGAACTCGCCAATGTCCCCGTTCCTCACTCTTTCCCTGAGTTCAAAGTTTCCAGGGGCGGAGAGTACGGCAAACAGGATATCCGGTTTCGTTTCCACGCATGCGTTGACCGGGCTACGGACGTACTCGAAGTCATGCTGGTTAACCACGTGTTTGGTTAAGAATGTGATGACCTTCCTCTTGGCCTCTAGCGCATTTTTAAGTATGTAGTTCCACTTGTTCAAGTTGTTTATATCCTGCTGTCTGGGATGTGTCGTAGTAGAAGTTGTAGAAGATATGGTTGTAGGTGTCGTCGCCGTCGTAGATGTAGAGGTCTGACTAAGCGTGACCTTAACTTCCGGTCTAGATGTGTTCATCGGGGAGATTTCAATTTTTACACTGCTGTCTATTTGATGAACACTGTTGATTTCTCTCTTCCTCATGCTGGCTATCAGAGTCTTTCCAGTTGACGATACCGTGCGATGGTCAGAAGCCTGTTCGAGGAGCATGAACACGGCGAGGAAGAAAATCCCAAGCATCACAATGCTGAACTGCAGTGTGCGCATCGAGGTAGTCATGGCGTCTGTCTTCTTCTGTGGGAACATACAAACGATGGCTTATGTTTATAGATACTTTCGGATAATAATTGAAGGAGTGCATTTAACTTGTGTAAATGAAATAGTTGAGCAAGATATGTTGAAGCTTGAATCAACAGACAGGACAATGATAAGATATGAAAAGTTTCGGCTTAGTGCCTTCTCCAGCGAACAGGACACATGAAAATACAACAAAAACAGATGACAGTATAAAAAAAAAACGTTTATATCTTGTTGTCCTATTGTTTCAAGTTTAAACATAACTTGTTCTACCATTTAGATACTTTATCATTATCTGATGCTTGCACGAGAGATGCATTTAAGTACAGGCAGACGATCAACGAAGAGTTTGAGACATAACACGAAAAGAAAAACAAAAAACTAAAGACAATTTATGAGTTAGAGTACCATAATTTATTATAAGGCGAAGAGATATCGATGAAGAATTTGAGATGAAAAAGTTTTTTTCACAAGCATTATAATAGACTTTGCGTGTGTGCTGTAGCTGTCTTAGTTATTTTTAGTCACATATATGCACTTCCATGCACACTTCCGTGCACACTTACATGCACACTTCCATGCACACTCACACAATCAACCAAGTACAGACAAATTACATTTTTGAAGTCAAAGTTTAACTGTTTTTTTTTTTTTTTTTTTTTTTTTGTTTAAATTATATTAAAAAACAAAATAAAAAAAAAAAAAAAAAAAAAACACCATTAAGACAAATATTTGATACAAAGTATGTTTGGTGGAGTGTATAGATTTGTATCGCTTACACTATATTATTTAAATATGTATAATATTAAAGTCTCAATTCAATATTTCCATTACAAAAAACAAAAACAACAGCATCATGAAAATGTAAACACACCTTCCCCACTTTGTTCCCCAATCCTGCAAGGTCTTTGGGATAAAATCAATAACGATAAAATTGATACGGGTAATCAGTAATTGCCTTTAAAAGGGGAAAAAAAACAACATCTTACTGCCCCATTTCATAATTTTACTGAGATTAACACTGTTTCAAATAAACATTCGAATGTAACTAAAAGGACTGCATACTTACTTGAATTCCTTATCCCCTCCTGAATCTATACAGGAACAGGCCCAGCCGTGCAACGTTACAAGGCCTCTGGTGCGAAACGTTGCGTTGTTACAGAACACACAAGAATCACAAACCACCAGCCATGTTACCGGACGAGCCAATAGTTCTGAAACTGTCCGTTATTACAGCCCACACCAGATGTACAAAGCACCCGCCGTGGTAATGGGCCATGCCTCGGATGCGACACGATCTGTTAGGACAACCCACACAAGAATCACAAGCCCACCGGCAATGTTATCGGGCAAGGCCTCGGTCACAAAAAAGGGCTATCTTGCCAACAACATGATATTTGAACATAAAACAGCCCTGTTGTCGGCTGTGTTGTGTCAAATAGCCCCGTTGTCGGCTGTGTTGTGACAAACAGCCCCGTTGTCGGCTGTGTTGTGTCAAACAGCCTTTTTGTCGGCTGTGTTGGGTCAGGCCTCGGTGATTTCCCCCACCGATAACGGTTTTTTTCTTCCCCCCCCCCCGCGTAAGGGGGGGGGGCCTCAATTTTGTTTTAAAAGGAAGCCTCCGATGCGTATCTGTGTCATAGTGTGGACCATCAACAAGAGCGGACCAACCATTTATTCATGCGTGATATAGCGACAGAGGCGTAGCGTGGTGGGGGCAGGGGGGGGGGACAGATTCCCCGGGCGCCAGCTAGTTAATGGGTTTGAGAGTTGAAAAAAAGAAAAAGGGGTGCTTATAAATGGATCTTGTCCCCGGGCGGCAAACACCCTCGCTACGCCACCGCATAGCGGCGCCACGTTAAAAGAGGAAACGCTTCCCGTTGTTGCTGTGAAGTGAAAAAGATTAAAATCGTGATCCAGCATTGTTTAATTTTTTTTCTTTTTATGGTTAAGCTTTTTAAAATATCTCATTTGATAAACGGTCTATCGAGCTACAACTAAAATATCCCCCCTAATCCATTTTCAGCCGGAATCTATCCAAAAAAAGTAAATTGTTTTTAAATCCGATCCGTTAAAATTAATTTCAACACGTGGAAGTGGAACGTGAAAGGGTTTTGGGGGGAGGGGGGGGATGGTGTTTGTTGAGATTTTGATGCAGTCCGTAAGAAAATCGCTGACATACTTAGTTCTAAAAAGGGGGAGGAGGATGGCTTTATTTCTTTAATGTTAAAGAATGTTCATTGAAATAGTTTAAGCGGTTTTTTTTTGTTCCTGAATCCTTTTACATTGTGCGTGTAGCCACAATGGACAAAGGGACGGAAATGTACTGAGATGGTGTTGTAGTTTCCATAAATGGTGAATGCAGTGGACTGTGACAGTGTTTCAATTCCTTTCAGAATGACTACAGTGTACTGCGACAGTGATGTAGTTCACAAATGGTGTATGCAGTGTAATGTTACAGTCTTGTCGCGCTGCTATCGATGCATGCAGTGTACTGTTACTGTCTTGTAGCTCCTATACCGATGTATGCAGTGCACTGTTACAGTCTTGTAGCTCCTAGAGACCAATATTTAACACACGAGGTCAAGTCTATTTATTTCAAGAACGATGTAGAATATAGCATAAACGATACACGATGTAAGGTCATTTGGTAGGCATTAAAATAGCTTTCGCCAAACACTATACAAACATATAAATAGAGAGATAGATTCAAGTATAAACTAGGTAGGGGGATCGATGGGAAGATGGATTGATCGATGGATAGATAGATGGACAAATAGGTATGACTGTAGGTAGATGAATGAATGCAAGATAGGCATGCCGTAAGACAGACAGAATTGCAGTGGGCAGGCGATTAGATACACAGGTGTTACAAAGATACACACATGAATATACAAATTAAAAGATTATTATTTTTAATCCATAGATGGATCATCTGATTGACATTGACAGTAAAGTGATTTTTGGATTTAATCCAAGGAAAGGCTTTCAAATACTTTATTCAATTGTCCTTTTAGTTAAATGTTCCTGCTGTTCTAATGTATGTTGAATGTTCATGCTGTTCTAAGGTATGTTGAATGTTCATGTTGTTCTAAGGTATGCTAAATGTTCATGCTGTTCTAAGGTATGCTGAATGTTCATGTTGTTCTAAGGTATGTTGAATGTTCATGCTGTTCTAAGGTATGTTGAATGTTCATGTTGTTCTAAAATATGCTAAATGTTCATGTTGTTCTAAGGTATGCTAAATGTTCATGTTGTTCTAAGGTATGTTGAATGTTCATGTTGTTCTAAGGTATGCTGAATGTTCATGTTGTTCTAAGGTATGTTGAATGTGCATGTTGTTCTAAGGTATGCTGAATGTTCATGTTGTTCTAAGGTATGTTAAATGTTCATGTTGTTCTAAGGTATGTTAAATGTTCATGTTGTTCTAAGGAATGTTGAATGTTCATGTTGTTCTAAGGTATGTTAAATGTTCATGTTGTTCTAAGGTATGCTAAATGTGCATAGTGTTCTAAGGCAAATTAAATGTTAATGTTGTTCTAAGGGTTTTTTAAATATTCATGTTTTTATTAAGGCATGTTGAACGTTTATGTGGTTCTAGGGTATAAAATAATTATGTTGTGGACTTTGAGGGTGTACTGTACACAGACAGGTTGAAATAAGATCCAAACAATCGCCTAGCTCACTTACCAAGTGTTTAGAATTAAAACTAATGCTAAGAAAAGTCAAGACATGTTAACCGAACGTTCCTACAGAAGGCAGCATCTGCATTCCTTCACATTATCGTTTTCAAATTTGTTGTTCCCTCGTACTTAGAAGACATCTATTTTATGCTTTAGAGATTTACTCCTTGTAAACCTTGGGTCACGGATTTCATTAAAAATATGAGGACCACAGACGGGAAAAAAATTGATAGAGTGTATATTTTAGATAGAGTTTTGTGACACATAAAGACTGGCCAATCAGTATGTTTGATTTAGTCACGGTGTAAATAACACATAAGACTTTGGAGTGACCAGGAGTTGAATAATGTTTGCGGAATCGTCATGATTTTTGGAGACAGTGAACTGAGAAAGAAATGTTTCTGTGAAACTAAATATGCAGATATTTTTTTCTGGTGTCTCTTGTTTTTTGGATAGTTTCAGTGTTTGAATTAAAATTGTAACTTCTTGAACCAGCAAGATCTCGAGTATTATTTCACAAGGGCTTAACAGGGTACAGTTGTTGTTTTTCTTACACCAGGTTTGGGATATTTTGAGAAAATACCTGGTGTGCCCAGGTGGTACAAAAAAAAATAATAGTTAAATTCTCATTTTCTATAAATAGTAGGTCTACAGACAGTCCTAAACCATACATGTGGCTTTTTATTGATAACTGTGTCAGAAAGAGAAACAAAAAATCAAAATTTATAGCTGTGTTCAACTGTCATGAAGTACACATTTTTTTTGTTCCATTGTGTATTACTTTTTTGAAACAAGCTGAGTTGGGGGTGGGGGTGGGGGGGGGGGCTGTAAAAAGACAGGCAGAACACACGAGAAGCAAAATCCCTGTATTAGAGATAAGAGTGACACTCTGGTTACTGGCTCGGCTGTATTCTACTTCCGGTATGTGAACGTCATGCAATTTTATGATTTCCCAACTAGTGGTAATGCTCTTCTTTAGTCCATCATGTTCATGAAACAGGCTGCCCGGTATGAACACCAGGACACTATAGAAATAAGATTTTGGAACCTGTTACCACAAATAAAATTAGAAAGACTTTACCACTCGACTTACACCTTACACAAATATTAAACTTCACCAAACTTAACGAGGCGAAGAAGATTAAAAAACAATAAGCGTGGGTATTAGGCAGATGAGCGAATTGAATGAAGGATCTTTAAAGAGTTACTCATACGTGATTCTATTAGAGGGCTAATTCACTTTTCTTCAGACACTTGTGGGCCGATTCACTTTTCTTCAGACCCTTGTGGGCCGGTTCACTTTTCTTCAGACACTTGTGGGCCGATTCACTTTTCTTCAGACCCTTGTGGGCCGATTCACTTTTCTTCAGACCCTTGTGGGCCAAATCACTTTTCTTCAGACCCTTGTGGGCCGATTCACTTTTCTTCAGACACTTGTGGGTCGGTTCACTGTCGCTCAGTACTGTTTATACCCGAACTACAGTTTGAAACAAATAATTAACGAATTCCGACGCACACTAAAAAAAAATATAACAAACAATTTTAACAAAACCAGATAAGAATTTCAAATAAAATTAAATTTGGTTGGCTTATGGCTTATTGCAGCCCTGCACAAAATACGGCCCGCGGCCGCATGCGGCCCGCCAGCCACCTCGTTGCGGCCCGAGAAGTAACGAAATATTCTTTATTCTTATTATTTTCTTTTGGCCCGCACAAGTCCTGTCCTATTTTCTTTGGCCCCTCAGAAGTTTTTCACAAAGTATTACGGCCTGCTTACAATTTGATCTGTGCAGGCCTTAATGTGTAGTGAATTTGAGGTATAATATATTGATCACTGCTATTCGGGTACCAGAACGACGACCAGGCAGGGCCGTGTTAACGACACCCGGCAGGCCGCCTTCTGGCCCGCGGGCCGTAGATTGAGGAAACTTGGCACAGTGCGCTCAAATAATCGAAATAATAATTGATCAACTAACTGAATATTTTAAATGAAAAAATATTTTGCCATAAAGGGAAGTTTATATAACTATAATATGTATTGGGATTGGGGGATTTTCTTTTGATCACAGTTCATTGGAGGGAAATGTTCAGAACCCGAGACAATAAACATGGTAAAACTTGTCTTGTTGTGTTGTGACGATTCACCTCAGTAAGCTTTGGAACATTTAATTTTTTTCCTTAGATCTGATTGAAGTTTACGAGCTCATAACAGAGGGGTAGCTAAGGGTTTGGGGGCAGAAGGGGACAGATGTCCCTGTGCGCCACACTAGTTTGGGGCGATAAAATGTGTTTTTCTACTCTTTTTATCAAGGATAATAATGGGTTTGAGAGTTGAAATACAAAAGGGACGCGCTTTAAAATAATATTTTTTTTTCCCCTGGCTTCAAACATGCTAGCTACGCCTCTGTCTCGAAACAATAACTCCGGTTACAGGAAGAACACTTCATATAGCTATCGTGTCTGGTGGGGGCTCTGTGTTACACGCACATCATATGTGGTGGAACGTTGTTTCAGCGCGGTCGGCCACCTTCATTTTTATTTTTAGAGTTATTGAATGACATTTTTTTTTTAACATTGAGATTTACGATGAACACTTGTTACCCTTTAAGAAATCCTTCGTGTGGCGAAAGAAAATCGAGCGTAGAAGAAAAGTAGGATCTACTATTAAGAAATGCAAAGGTTATTTTAAAAAAAAAATCTATCGCAATGTTTGTAAGACATTAAAAAGATGTGGTACAGCTCAGGGACCTCTACATGGGTGGGGGGAGAGGGGGGTGGTTTGGAATTTATCCAGATAACATAGGTAATATGGGAAAGTGAAAAAACCAACACCTATTTTGTAGCCGCCTACTTTATAACCACATCGTTTGTAACACCCTACTTTGTAACTGCTTAATTTGTAACCGACTAGTTTTAACTGCTTGGTTTGCAACCGCCCGGTTCGTCACTGCCGAGTTTGTAATCAACTAGTTCGTAACCACATAGTTCGTAACCGCCTAGTTTGTAAACACCCAGTTTGTAACTGGCTAGTTTGTTATCAACTAGCTAGTCCTAACTGCCTAGTTTGTAACCACCAGGTTTCAGCAACAACAAAAATGGACAGTTTAAATTTTTGGTATGAGTTGGAAAAAAATAATGACTTGCTGCGTCATTATTTATGACCTACCTCTCACTTTATTATTGTTCGCATCAAAATTACGATAAGCGAAACAATTTTAAGTAAAAATAATAGTTGGCTGCTTCTTAAAACCACATTTAAAAATAATCAGAAATGAAAAGAAAGCGAAGAGGAAACAAAGTTTTAAAAAAATAAAGTCAGACAGGTTTGTTTAGTCATTTGTTGATACAGCTTTATTTAGTCATTTGTTGAGACAGCTTTAGTTAGTCATTTTTTGAGATAGCTTTATTTAGTCATTTGTTGATACAGTTTTATTTATTTATTTGTTTATACAGCTTTATTTAGTCATTTGTTGAGACATCTTTAGTTAGTCATTTTTTGAGATAGCTTTATTTAGTCATTTGTTGATACAGTTTTATTTATTTATTTGTTGATACAGCTTTATTTAGTCATTTGTTGATAAAACTTTATTTAGTCAATTGTTGGTAAAAGTTTATTTAGTCATTTATTGATTAAACTGTATTTAGTCATTTGTTGATTTAACTGTATTTAGTCATTTGTCGACAAAGCTTCATTTAGTCATTTTTTTATATAACATCATTTAGTGATTTTTTATACAACTTTATTTAGTCATTTGTTAATACAACTTTATTTAGTCATTTTTTTTAATACAATTTTATTTTTTATTCATTTGTTTATACTGCCTTATTGAGTCATTTGTTGATACTGCCTTATTTAGTCATTTATTGATACTGCTTTATTAAGTCATTTGTTTATACAACTTTATTTAGTCATTTGTTGATACAGCTTTGTTTGGCCATTTGTTTATGCAGATTTATTGAGTCATTTGTTAAAACAGCTTCATTCAGTCTTTTTCTGATACAACTTTATTTAATTATTTGTTGATACAGCTTTATTTACTCATTTGTTAATACTGGTTTATTTAGTCATTTGTTGATACAGCTTTATTTAGTCATTTGTTGATACAGCTTTATTTAGTCATTTGTTGATACAGCTTTATTTAGTCATTTGTCGATACAGCTTTATTTAGTCATTTGTTGATACAGCTTTATATAGTCATTTGCCGATGAAACAACGGAAACGTATCAGTGCTGGAAAACAAATTCGGTGTCGTTCAGAACAGGCACTTTGAGCCTCGACGCACAGATCCCAGTGATGTAGACGTCGTCCAGCCACAACGGTTTGGTCCTGAGCGCCGCCTGGTACAACAACGTGACCGTACTCAGTGGATAACCCAGCAGTCCACCCAGTGCGAAGCGTGGATAAGTGGAGTTCGGGTACTCCTCCTCGCTGACGGCGTACTTCAGGTAATCTTCGCTCGTGTTCCGAACGGGTGTCCAGCCGTCCTTCCTGTTCCCGAGGATGAAATCCGTGTACACCGTCCCGGTTCTCTTCAACGCTGACACGATTCGGGAGACATTCACCATGACGTCATCGTCCGTTCTAATGACGTACTTCGCGTGCTTGCAGTACGTCACGGCCCACCTCAGCATGGACACGGCCTTCAGGCGGATGTTTGTGTAGACGTCCACGAAACTCTCTTGGACCAGATCGCCGTAAGTTCGGAACTCATCGTCCAGATGGGATTGTATTTTTGGCGTGCTCTCCGTGCAGTTCGGCGCTCCTGCAAAGAACAGCAGCGTCGCGTTGTTGGACGGCGCGCTGACGTACTTTCCTAAGATCCCAGCTCTCACTCGTTTCCTCCTCTCGAAGTTTCTCGGCGCCGTCGGCACGACGAACAGCACCTCCGTCTCGCTCACCTCACACGCGCCGACGGGATTGCGCAGATACTCGTAGTCGTGGAAGTTGACGACGGGCTGGCGGAGCAGCTCGGCGGCGGCCCTCTCTGTCGCCAGCGCAGCTTGTATCGGGTCATACGCCTTCGTCGTGTTCATGGCAGAGTGCGATGTGGAGGTTGAAACGGTGCTCGCGACGAATGATGCCGCATTTTGACCGGGAGCGGTGGTAGCATTGTCAAACAGCCTCTCTTTCAACAGTAACTCCAGGGCGTGCATGCGTTCCCTGTAGGTTGTTTTGATGTTGAAAAACAACGCTAAATAGAGGCTGACCGAGATGAGTAGGACGATCGCAAAGAGTAGTTTCGGCTTCTGTAAGCGACGCATTGAATCCTTGAATGGGTTTCTGCCTTCTGGAGAATAGAAAGAAGGGGAAAGAAACAAAAAACAAATCACAACTTTTTTCAACGCGACAATGGAAAGATCGATTTTAAATGGAGCTATGCTTTACTTTGATGTCCTTAAATGGGTCAACTTCTGCAATGTAGATAAAGCTGGATAGGTAGATAAACATGTGTAGCATGCGGTAGAAAATTTCAAGAACATGTTGACAAGTGTAGAATAATAACCGTGCGTGGCGCCAGTTTAATGCGAGGCCTTCTAGTTTAGGGCACGCGTCAGCGAAAACAGATCACATGTTAGATCATATTTATGTCAGGTATTAGAGTACTTGTAAAAAAAAAAATTCTCCATCTTACTCTGTTCCCCTCTATCTTAATCTATTTTACTCTCCCAATCTCTATCATACTCAATCTTACTCTATGTAACTCTAACTACACGCCGCCATATATCAGCCCAAACTCACCACCTCCCCCCCCCCCAGCAAATTGACATAACTTAAATTTACATAACCTGAAATTCAAAATGAACGGGGGCCCCCCCCCCCCCATATTTTATCCCCACACAATTTGAAGTGGCAAACGCTTGCCCCCCCCCCCCTTTACATCCATAAAAATGTTTTTATAAAGTAAATGAAAAATCAGAAGAAAAAAAAATCTCAATCAATACACCCAATCCAATTCAGTTCGAATAAAGAATAACAATCTTTCTTCTCACTATATGCCTCATTCTCAATCAGTTGTCATAAAATGTGTACAGAAAGCCAAACACAAAAAGTGGTACATTCCATATTTGATCAGTAGATAACAATGGGGTAGTGAATGCACAGCGTCATAACGAAATCTGGCAATAATACTCTGTACAAAATCTTTGGATAGAAATGAGGTTTAGGGTAAATATCAACATAACGAAATCTGGCAATAACACTCTATACAAAATCTTTGGATAGAAATGAGGTTTAGGGTAAATATCAACATAACGAAATCTGGCAGCCACACACTGTATAAATCATTAGATAGAAATGGGGTTCTGGCTAAATATCACTATGGCGAAATCTGGCAGTCACTCACTGCATAAATCATCAGATAGAAATGAGGCTACTGTATAACGTTATAAAGAAAATTTTATATTCGAATAACATAGTATTTCACCCGACAGACGCGATCCAGCCGTTTAGCAATGCTGTGTCGTTCAACGAACAGACGGTTAAAACAATAAATTCTAACGTGAATGCAAATAAAGTAACAGAAGCTACGTGATCACTTACACACGAACCTTACCGCATAGCGCAACACGTTTATCAGCAGATAACACGATGACAAGGGACGCTTACAAGAAAAAAAACCCCACCCGTTTATGTCACAGCACAAAGAGAAGCGCAAAACGACGTTTTCTCACGGTTCACTGACTTATTCAAAGACATTTCCACACAATGCTGACTGGCTTCTGACACTGGCAGACGCCGAATTGAAAAAATTGCGCATCAAGTAAGGGGTGGGGGTGGGGGTGAGGGAGGCGGTATTTTAAAAAAAAAAAAAAATTTTTTTAAAAAGGGAATGTAAGGAATTTTATATTTCCAGGATCGGTTTTCTATCGTGGACGGCTGCTTGAACGGTGATTTTATGTCCCTTAGTTTTAGTGAGCGTAAAGAGCCTCTATAAAGAAATTGTTTACTCCGCTTCACACAGCAGATATTTGTTTTGATTGATTGGTTGATCGGGTGCTTTGTTTACTGGTCGCTGCAACGTAAACAAATAATTTTTATATGGAGCATTATATTATTGGGGCAAATAGGGTCATGGTTAAGATTATCCCTGATATATCTTTTTATAACTCTGCGTAATTATATCTAACTCTGTATTTTTATGACTCTTTCTAAATCTATCTTATTCTTTCTTCTCTTCCTCTTTCTAAATCAAACTGAGTCTATCTAAATCTGCGTAACTCAGTCTAGCTCTGCCTTACTCTTGCTCTATCTAAATATATCAAAGAATCTAACTCTATCTACATATGTGTATGTCTTACCCAAACGCTGTCTAAATCTATCTGACTCTGCCTAACTCTATTTAACTGTGCCTTACTCTTACAAATTTATCTGACTCTATTTAACTCTGTCTAGCACTGTCTTATTCTTACTGTTTGTAAATCAATTTGACTATATCTAACTCTGTCATACTCTTGCCTTTACTAAATCTATCCGACCCTAAATAGCTCTATCTAAATATGTCTAACTATGTCTTACCCTAACTCTATGTCTAAATCTATCTGAAGCTATCTAGCGCCATCTAAAGCTGCCTAACACTATCTTAATGTTGCTATTATCTAAATAAATCTGACTCTATAAAATTATACCTAACTCTTTCTTACTCATACTCTAAATCAATCTGACTCTAACTAGCTCTGCCTAACTCGGTCTTCTTCTTAATCTGTCTAAATCTGACTCTATCTAACTCTATTTAACTCTAACTCTGTCATACTGTTACTCCATCTAAATCGTTCTAAATCTATCTGTCTCTATCTAACTCTTTCTAATTCTGCCTAACACTATTTGACTCTATCTCACTCTATCTAATTACATCTAAATCTTACTTCAAGTTGTTGTTACTAAGACACATTAAAAAAAATACCTTCTGTATCTATTTTTTAATACAAAGTTGAATGAATGAGAGATGAATGCAAACACTTTCAGTTGATATTCTTGATTTAGTGCAACTTTTCTAAAACAAAGGTATTTTTCTTTTTGACATATATGTTAATTTTAAATACACAATATTATACAGCATCAAACTGCCTCCAACCACCCCCTCCACCCCCTCCAAAAACCCTCTCCACACCCTTCAACAACCCTCTCCACACCCTCTAACCACCCTCTCAACACTCTCCAACAACCCTCTCCACACTCTCCAACCGTCTAACCACCCTCTCCACACCCTCCAACCACCCTTTGCACACCCTCCAAACACCCTCTCCACACCCTCCAACCACCCTCTCCAACCCTCTAACCACCCTCTCCACACCCTCCAACCACCCTCTCCACACCCTCCAACCACCCTCTCCACACCATCTCATAAAGTACCATTGATAACCTTCTACATCCTTCTACATCATCTCATAAAGTACCATTGATAACCTTCTACATCTTCTCATACCCTCCAACCACCCTCTCCACACCCTCCAACCACCCTCTCCACACCCTCCAACCACCCTCTCCACACCCTCCAACCACCCTCTCCACACTCTCCAACCCTCTAACCACCCTCTCCACACCCTCCAACCACCCTGTCCACACCCTCCAACCACCCACTCAAACCCTCCCCACACCCTCTCAACACCCTCCAACCACCCTCTCAACACCCTCCAACCAGCCTCTACAAACCCTTCTCACACCATTCCCACACCTCCCCACAAAAGTTAAATTTAAATGATTAGTAGCCAGAATGATCAATACATTGATCGCAGGCCCTTTATGTATAGATGAATAACAGGAACTACTAATTGGATACGTAGGCTAACAGCTTTGATGCGACTAGGGGTAACTAGTCAACAAATGAAAGGTGACCGGTTAATATGGTTCTTTACTCAACAACAGAGTTTCCTCCCTCTCTTCCACAATCTCTCCCTCCCTCTCTTCCACAATCTCTCCGTCCCTCTCTTCCACAATCTCTCCCTTCCTCTCTTCCACAATCTCTCCCTTCCTCTCTTCCACAATCTCTCCCTTCCTCTCTTCCACAATCTCTCCCTTCCTCTCTTCCACAATCTCTCCCTTCCTCTCTTCCACAATCTCTCCCTTCCTCTCTTCCACAATCTCTCCCTTCCTCTCTTCCACAATCTCTCCCTTCCTCTCTTCCACAATCTCTCCCTTCCTCTCTTCCACAATCTCTCCACATACCGTTTATGATTGTACAAAATATTAGGGTGAGGGGGGTGGGGGATAAATGATTTAAAATTGAATTTTAGAAGACAAAAAAAAATGATGATCAGGCTCAATCCTGACTTTTTAAATCAATAACCAGTTTGCAATTGCTTTTTTTTTATTAAATCAACATCAACATAGCTAACGCGCCTAGGAAGATGTTTGCACATGTTAATAATAAGATCTCTTAGTAAGATTTAACGATGTTACTCCGTGCATAGTTCTGTTATAGGACTGCCCCTTATCTCAATGCAAAACATTTGTTCTGTCTACACTGCATACTTGTCGAAGTTTTTCTGTACCGCCCACGCTCCTGCATTAGATCTCGATCAAATTTGGCATACATAGGTATCACAGTTTGTTATCAAGAAAGAAATACTGACTGCATGTGGATATTTAAAACATATCAATGTTCAGGGCCATGGGCCAACATATCCACAAATGGATAGATCGCTGCACCAAACTTAGTACACGTGCACTTGAATATCTGCAGTAAATACTGGAGGGTTTCAACTCATACCTTTTACCACTTTTGTGGAGTGTGGTCCCTAATTACGTATATAAGTGTACAAGCATTACAAATACCACTAGTCTTATTTGACAACAAAGAGTCCCACTTGAATTGATGGATGAAAACATACCGGAGGCTTAGATGACAACAAAGCGCCCTACCTGAGTTGAAGGATGAAAATATACCAGTAGGCGCAGATGAAAATAAAGGGTCCTAAGTACATTGATGGATGGAAGCAGAATTTGGTCGGCTTACCCTGCATAGAAAACATATTCAACTAGCGCTGGATTCTAAACTACTAATATCCAGTCACGGGCTGGATATATATTTTTTTTAGAATTGTAACTGATGTGGAATTAGGCTGAATCCACCTGCTGATTGGCGTACGCTAGTAACTTTAACTTCTTTGGATTCGTTTTCACATGAAGATGTGGGACACTCCATCCATCGCTCAGGGATCACATGCGTTCTGCCCCTCCCTTAGTGAAAATAGGAAATCCATGTTTCTACACCTTTGAAATACGAGAATAATTACACGCACACTCTCCTTCCTTCGTAATTCTTCACTCATAACCAGCATGGCTCATCCATACAGCTTCTTCCGTCTCATTAACTTCCCTAATGTTCTCTGCGAATGACCACATATCATCCCCTTTAATATATCTAAATCGCGAAGATATATATTTATGTAATTATAGAGCTAACAAGAAATAACCATCAAAAATCTATATTTTTTTTTACCATGAAGATAAAGTCTTTATGCTTTTACTCATTTTTTATTTCAAAAATCACATTCAAAGATATTATTTATTAAAGTTTCCAGAAAGTTCAAGGTAATTGCAGGAGATTCTACAATTCATATTCTCTTTAACAGCCAAAGTTTTACCCGAAGGGTTGGTTTATCATGTTAGAATCCAGCGCGAAGTGAGGCAAATCGACAAAACTTGTTGAATATATTATCTGTCATAACTCTGAGTTTCATACTAAAAAAATGATCACCGTAGAATTTGCCTTAAAGCCTGGCGCTTAGATCTATAACGGGCTATCTCTGTACATAAAAAAAAAGTTTGATTAATCCACGCTATATCTTTGACGCTTTTCGATCCGATTTAAATTTGGGGGGGGGGATTTTTTTAATGAAAAACGTTTTTCAACATCTAAACTAAAATATATTTACCGTTTTAAAGACTTAAAAATTGTTAAAAAAAAAAGTTTGATTAATCCACGCTATTTCTTTTTCGCTTTTGGATCCGATTTAAATTTGGGGGGGGGGGGATTTTTTTAATGAAAAACGTTTTTCAACATCTAAACTAAAATATATTTACCGTTTTAAAGACTTAAAAATTGTTTGACAGTCTGAATGACTTATGGTTATTGTTGTAGTGTGTACTGATTGAACTCTGGGGCATGATCGTCCTGTGCTGTTGTCATGTTGTAGGGCTGGACGTTTTGAGTGGTTTTCCTGAATGTTTAAACTTAAATGTGTGAATATGGGTTTGAGAAATGCAGTGGGTGGTCATGTGATGTGAGGTAACGAAAGAGTTTAAGAAGGGTGAATAAAGGTTAGTTGATACACAGACCACAGACTTGACTTGATTATATTATTATAATATTACAGATTTTTTGGGTGCCAGCAACCCCAATAATAAAAACATAATAGATATCTTTTGCAAATTCCATGCGATTTTAACAGGATGAATTTGAAAATGTAACTTGAATATTGAAATGACTGATATTTCCAGAGCCCCTGTCTCAAGAATAGGCAAAATAACGCTCTTTTGGCAGGTTCAATATTGCGGCCCGCTTGATGTATCATAAATGACCCACTTTTTTTTTCTTTCTATTTCAACCTGAGTTTCGTTTCATTCTTGGTTTACAGCGCCTTTTACTGATACCATTTACATATTTAAAAAATACACAGAGCCTTCGAGGACTCTTTTACCATGCATCAGTGTTTCTAGGGTTTCCAGTTGTCACTGTGCCAAAGTCGGGTGACGATCGTTTTACTTCCGGTGCACCGCTCGGCAGGCGACTCGACACAGCGTGTGCTTATTGTTTTCAGCTTTTAGAAGAGTTTTGAGCATTTTTTTAAAATGTTTTCTTTGGAATTCAAGGCGTGATATAAGCACGTTTGGACAGATACACGTGTGTTTTATCGTGCTTCTCAGCGGTTACGTGACAGTGGAAGTCGTGGGCTTGAACCACATTTACATCCGCTATATTGAGACCCACGTATCCGCCATCTTGTACAATGGCATAGATCGAGGCAAAAGAACAACACAAAAGACAAGTGGGCTACAGAGATTATGATTATCTATAAAAGACGGAAGCTCAAATCGAACAAATGTATACTCTGTTCCAAATCCAAACTTGCACTTGAGAATATAACAGCTATTCTGACCATACAGCGATACGCTCAAAAATCGAACAGCTATTCTTATCATTACGATGGTTCACTCAAGAACCCTACATCTTTTCTCGCCACACAATGATTCATTCAAGAACGTAATAACTATTCTGACCAGACAATACTTCCCGCCTAAATCGAAACAGCTATTCTGAAGACACAATGGTTCACCAAACGCTTTCATGCTGACCAATTTTGAGGAACAGCAAAATCTCAGGGATTTTCCCAAAAATGTATGTGCAATGCACTCCAAACAAATGTCCATTTCTTTGGATTAATACAAGCATCTTATCTTATATCGTACAGCTAGGATTTCAGTCCAGTTTTTTTTTTTTTTCTACGTAACGCGATATCAAACCCAGTCTGAAACCACAGCCCCCTTCCCCCCCTTTTACCACTTTGTCTTTGATTACATCAACCTCTCAAAAAGATTTTCCCAAAAATGTATGTGCAATGCACTCCAAACAAATGTCCATTTCTTTGGATTAATACAAGCATCTTATCTTATATCGTACAGCTAGGATTTCAGTCCAGTTTTTTTTTTTTTTTCTACGTAACGCGATATCAAACCCAGTCTGAAACCACAGCCCCCTTCCCCCCCTTTTACCACTTTGTCTTTGATTACATCAACCTCTCAAAAGATCTTTACTTCATACTCTCCATCGATCAGGGGCGTACCGAGCGTGTGGAGAAACACGGCGGGTGCTGTGAGCCCAACGTAAATGGGGCGCAAAATGTGCACGCCCAACGAAGAATTATATATATATTTGTTAAAGTGCTCTTTTTTATTTATAAACTTGTTCTCGGTATTTTTTGTTGTTTTTTTTGCTATACGAAAATTATTTTTACACATCCGTTTACACTTTTGTCCGTGTTAACCATAGGACACATTCTTACTGTGTTCATTTTATGTGTTTTAAGAGTGGTAGTGCGCACATCTTTTTTTTCCCCTAGGGGTGCCATGTGTCCCCGGGACACCTCTACCATGAATGCAAACCAGCCGGCCGTCGTATTAACAATGATGTATACCAAAGACTGTTACCGGAAATTTGATCGAAAGAAATTGCGGCGAAGGTAAATTGATCGACGGTAATATGATCGAACGGAAATTTGGTCGAATCTTTTTTTTTTTTCAGTTCATGCGTTAAAATCTTCGTTAAATTTCTTTTTCAACGCACTCTACTCTAGAGTCAAACCAAATAATGCGTTCAAAAAGAAATTTTATGCACAATTTTAACTTGAAAACTGAAAAAAATATTCGACCAAATTTACGTTCGATCAAATTGCAGTCGATCAATTTACCGTCGACGAAATTTCCTTCGATCAAATTTCCGGATACGACCAAAGACAGGTTAGGGCGCTTATGTTACAGCATTTGTTTAACACAGCAGTGACCTTACTTAAGGACACGTTGAAGGTTGCTGTTGATCAGAGAGGAACATCGAGCTAGGCGATCCGATTTTTATTTCAACTTCTAGTGACAGGTGGCGTCACCAATTTAAAGATAAACCCCACGTGACTTTAATCGATGTAAATGCGGGAGGAAGGGGGGGAAGGGGTGGATGAAAAAGGGGTGTGTTGATCATTCCAACTCATTGCATGTCTGTTCCTGTATATCCTGATTTGACGCTTACGTCAAAGAACTCGGGTTTCTCTAAGTGGAGACCCCTTCACGTATTTCCGGCGACGTTGACTATTGTGGGCTACAGCACTGTCAAACTCTACACTAAGAGTCAGATTTTGGAGTCGGAGTAATGCAGGGTTGTTTCTGGGATACCTTCGGTACTTCCGGGTTGTGGGAGCTTGAAGCAGGGACTCTCAAAATTAAATGCTTTACCCCTCCCCCCCAATAAATAACCTTCTAAAATCAATTGTATAACCGAACGCATATTATAAACATAAAAATCCGAAGTAAAACATTCGATTAATAAAAGGCATTTGTGTTTTTGCTGCAATGCTGTGCACAACTGAAACAACGGAGCTGACTCCATTATGAATGGATGAGTATTCACCCCCCGGCCTTTAGTAGGTTCAGGGGAATGTAAGTCGCATTTATGAAATGTTCATGTCAGTTCTTTGAACAAATAGCGTCATTTTAATTCCATAATTACATTTGGTTTCACCATATTTGGAAATTTCAGACACGAAGAGAGAAAAAAACACAAAAATCGTTTCCCCATTCCTTTTGTTAAATAACATCAATCAATTCCATGTTAAGTTCGTATCACATTCACTTCGCTTTTGATCGTGCCTTGTGTGTTTGTGGGCAAAACATTCGGAAGGCTAATTGACCCACTTCTCCTCATTCCATCGAGCTAAAACTTGGCACACCTTGCGAGTGATAATACAGCTTTTTGTTTTTTTTTCAAAATTTCAACCCCAAACTGTCCCACCCAAAACCCAAAGTCAGGTTTACATGTTCTTCAAAAGGGCGGTTGGGGTGGGGGAGAAATGTTAATGATTTGTTTAATCGATGCAGGTTTGATGTGGAGTTTAATTATGCAAATGTAGCTAAGTGCCTTGCATTGGTGACGTATTTGCGTTTAAACAAATGTCTTCACTCCATTAGGTTTTTAGCATGCTCGAAGTTCGATTAAAACACTTTTCCCATACAAAAAAAACCAGTTGCTATAAATATATCAATCATAAATCACGTACAGTTACATAAATTCAAACAAAAATGCATCTAAAGGATTTATTTCAGAATTTTTTTTCAGTTATTGTTTGATTAGCATTCTGAAAAATCCAAAGGAATAATCATCATATATATTAAAAAAATGATACATTTTAACAAGTAAGTAATACATTTCCTCATGAAGTTCTTGTTAAATTTTCAAAAAAATAGCATATTTTAATAAATTCTGTGAACATTAAATAACCTCCCAACCCATCCAGACACACAAGTGAACATTAAATAACCTCCCAACCCACCCAGACACACAAGTGAACATTACAGACACACCAACAGAACCGCTTTAAAAACACAGGTTTGAAATAAAGCAGAAGCAACCATAAACCAAAAAGCCGTTCGGAAAGACAATTCAATCCTATTTTTTGTTGTGTCTATGTCTAAACACGAAGTCCGGGTCACTCTGTAAAGGGACGTCCACACTAGTGGCGCAGATCCCCGTGATGAAGACGTCCTCCAGCAAGATCGGCTCTGCCCTGATGGCCGCGTGGTACAACAGCGAGACCGTGCTGGGTGGGTAGCCCTGGAGCTCACCGAGAACGAACGGCGGAAATGTCGCGCTCGAATAATCTTCCTCGCGCCTCATCGGTTTACTTCTCCTTCGGGACGTCCGCCAGTCAGTCCTGATTCTGCCCACAACGAAATTGGGATACTGCTGACTTTTTGCGTCCATCACTCTGACGATATTAGAAACGTTCACCACGATGTTATCGTCCATGCGAACGACGTACTTCACGTCAGTGCAATAGGTGTGAGTCCATCTCAGCATTGACACGGCCTTCAGACGAAAGTTCTGAAAGACATCGAGGAAGTCTTCTTGCACTATGTCTCCGTGGTTGTGGTACTCGTCGCTCAGTCTCGTCTGAAGTTTCGTCGCGTTCTCGTTGCACGGGAAGGCGCCTGTGAAAAACAACAATCTTGCGCCGTTGGACGTGGTTCTCGCAAACTCGCCAATATCCCCGTTCCTCACACTTTCCCTGAGTTTAAAATTTCCAGGGGCGGAGAGTACTGCGAACAAGATTTCTGATTTCGTTTCCACGCATGCGTTGACCGGGTTACGGACGTACTCGAAGTCATGCTGGTTGATGACGTGTTTGGTTAAGAATGTGATGACATTCTTCTTGGCCTCCAGCTCGGTTTTCAGTATTGAGATCCGATTGTTGAGGCTGCTTATATATTGCTGTCTGTTTTTTTTTGTAGAAGTTGAAGAAATCGTTGAAAACGTCGTTGTAGGTGTTGTGGTAGATGTTGACGACTGACTACTCGAGGCCTTAACTTCCGGTCTAGATGTTTTGTTTGGGAGCATTCCAAATTTTTCACCGCTGTCTATTTTTGGATCACTTTCGATTTCTCTTTTCTCCCGGCTGAGTTTCAGAGTCTTTCCAGTTGACGATACCGTGCGATGGTCAGACGCCTGTTCTAGGAGCACGAAGGCGACCAGGAAGACAATGCCAAGCATCACAATGCTGAACTGTAGTGTACGCATCGAGGTAGTCATGGCTTCTGTCTTCTTCTGTGGGGATTAGCAAACAATGGTTTATGTTTCTAGATAATTTTACATTATCTGATGCCTGTTGGAGACACGGGTCTAAACACGGGAAGATAATCAACTAAATGTTAGAGAAACGATAAATAACAAAAAAGAAAACAAGAATTCGTTAGAGAATCATCCATTATAACACGAGGAGGTTACGAGTTGTCGGATGACTATAAGCTTTCACAAGCATTACAATAAACTGTGTGGGGGGCTGTGTTTGTTTTAGCTATTGTAAGGGACATACACGCACTAACATACACATATTCCATAAAAACACAAATTCTCCCTTGACCCAAGGCGAGACACTGATGTGGCAGAGTGCCACCTATAGGAATATGGAGTACACTCTACGTGTCACTGCTGTGTGTCACCCCAGGCTCGTACACACACCACTGGAATAATTTAAACAAAGTTACGCAGCCTTAAGTGGGCCTTCAATTCTTTGTGTGGTCAGTCACACGTGCAGATGACCCTCCCTGCCCCGCGGCTGACCAATGATCAAAGTGTGACCCTGTAGTCATTCTCCCCCCCCCTTTTGCCGTGTTGTTACCATGTAAGGCAGGTTTGATTTTAACCCGCTCATTCAAAATTAACACTTGTACTCAGAAAAAAATAATAAAAATTCTGCGTTATGTTCACTGCATGTATCTAACCGTTCTAGAGTAATTTTGCTTCGGCCCTTCTTCTTCGGTCTTCTACTCCGATCTTTTGGTTTCGCTTTCTATGATTTTACCACACATTTAGAACCTATATATAGTCCCCTGGACCTGATTCGCTTTAGTTTCTAAATAAAACATTAAGAACTGTCAGTCACAAACCACTCCTCTACACTTACAGTTTATGAAGGCAGTTTTTTATTATTTTTTATTTTTTATTTTTTTTTTGTATATTAAAACAAAAAGAAACGACCAAATTTTAAAAAAGATAATTGTATACAACATATGTTAACTTGATTGTGTGCATTTGTATAGCTTTCACCATTATATAAATATTTATAACATAAAATTATAAATTCAATATTTCACATTTTCAAATTGCCACGAACGTCATGAAGCTATACTCCCCCCCCTCACTTTTTTTGTTTGCTGTACTGCAAAGTCTTCAGAATAAAATCAAGCCGGAAAAAAAAATGAATGCGGATAAAATCAAGACGGAAAAAATCAAGACGGCTAAACTCAACATGGATAATGAGTCATCGCCATTTTAACCTAAACAAAACCTTTCTTCCTACAGCATTTCATAGTTAAATGAGATTAACTAAAACAAAACCTTTCTTCCTACAGCATTTCATATTTAAATGAGATTAACTAAAACAAAACCTTTCTTCCTACAGCATTTCATAGTTAAATGAGATTAACGCTGTTAAAAATAAACCTTCGAATTCCACTAAAACGACTGCCTACTCACATGTGTTCCCGAACCACGCCTGACTCTAGACATACCCACGACGTTATGAGCTCAGGCCGTGGTACTGGACAAGACCTCCGTTAAGAAAATTAAATACATTGTCCCGACAAGACAAGCAACAAAATTTGAAGGGGAAAAGGTCCTTCTTGACGGCTGCGTTAGGTCAGGCCTCGGTGATCATCTCCAGTTGCGTTGTTCTTCCTCGCAAAGCGTCCTCTGATTTTTGTATTGTTTTTTTTTTTTTTTGGTGGTTTTTTTTTTGGGGGGGGAGGGGGTTAGAAAAGAACGCTTCATAGCGTGTCTGTGCCCTATTGTGGACCAGCGGAAAGAGAGCTTCAACAATGTATTCAAGCGCGACCTGTATCAAATTTAAGAAGCACACAACGGTGTATTCCTCCGCAATTTATCATGGGCATTTTTTGTTTTTATTTTTTATTTTATCTTTTTTACTCCCAGCCCTTTAAAATATCTCATATTGTAAATGGTTTATCGAGCTAAAAACAAAAATATTCTTTTAATCAAGTTTTATCGTGAATCTCTTCGCAAAATTGCGTTTATTTATTTTGACATTGGACTATTTTAAATCAATCTCAACAGGTTAAAGTTGAACATGAATGGGGGGGGAATTGTTATTTTAATTCTTTTAGGTTAAATATTATGTATTAAAATAGTTAAAATTTATTTTTTTCTTTCCCTTGAATCCAATTCCATTGTGCAAGTTTCCACATTGGACAAAGGGTTGGAATAATGATGTATTCAGTGCACTGTGACAATGTCATAGTTCCTATGACGATGTATGCAGTGTACTGTGAAAATGTCATGATGATGTATGCAGTGTACTGTGACAATGTCATAGTTCATATGATGATGTAGGCAGTGGACTGTGACAACGTCATAGTTCCTATGATGAGGAAGGCAGTGTACTGTGACAACGTCATAGTTCCTATGATGATGTAGGCAGTGTACTGTGACAACGTCATAGTTCCTATGGTGATATATGCAGTGTACTGTGACAACGTCATAGTTCCTATGATGATATAGGCAGTGGACTGTGACAACGTCATAGTTCCTATGTTGATGTATGCAGTGTACTGTGACAACGTCATAGTTCCTATGATGATGTAGGCAGTGGACTGTGACAACGTCATAGTTCCTATGATGATGAATGCAGTATACAGTGTCAGTGTTGTGACTCATGTAGAGCTAGATCTAAGCCTGTTCATTTCAAGAATGTTCTGTGAATGATGTCTTCAACGGTGGCGTGTTTTGGTGTGGAGATTAATAATTGTCCAGTTGTTGCATTTTGCCCTTTATTTGTGATGTGGTTGGGTCTAAATCTATCTTTAGTCTATTAGGTTTATACATGCAATAAGTTCGACGAAACACTTTTCTTCACCAAAGAAAAAAAAGTTTTTCAAATCAGCTGCTAAAATTACATTAGTTGATAAATTATGTAATAATACAAAAATGCACACCAAAATGCAGATAAAGGAGATATAGGAAAAGCTTTTTTGTTGTGTGTTGTTTAATAAGCAAAGTGAAAACCGCTGTTCCCTTTCAGTAGGCGTTTTATAGCTATACAAATAATTACTTTTAAAAAGCAACAACAGCAATACAACTAAAACAACAGCAATAAATACAACTAAAACAACAGCAATACAACTAAAACAACAGCAATACAACTAAAACAAAAGAAATACAACTAAAACAACAGAAATACAACTAAAACAATAGTAATACAACTAAAACAACAGCGATACAACTAAAACAACAGCGATACAACTAAAACAACAGCAATACAACTAAAACGACAGCAATACAACTAAAACAACAGCAATACCAATAAAGCAACAGCAATACAACTAAAACAACAGCAATATAACTAAAACCACAGCAATACAACTAAAAAAACAGCAATACAACTAAAACAACAGCAATACAACTAAAACAACAGCAATATAACTAAAACAACAGCAATACAACTAAAAAGACAGATTATATGCATAGAAACATGATTGTATCAGAGTTTCAAAGCTATTTTGAAAAAAATCAACACCAACAAAAACAGCAACGACAACCACAACAATAGCAACACCAAGCAAACAAAACCTGCCAAACTTATTTGCTTGTGATCGGTTTCGAACCCTCTACCTCTTGAGAGGGAGTTGAACATAATAACACACGAAGAATTGCCGTATCTGTGTTTTATTTCAAAGTTATGACTCGACTGTGCTTCACAAAATATATATATCATTGACGCGATTCTTGAGATTCCTGCTTTTGTTTCATGGGCTTTGTGTGAGGACCTGTCATGAATGGCGCTTACATTTGTTCATGGTATTCATATTCGGCTTGGTTGAAGGTTACGTCCCGCAGTTGTTACACGATACGCGTAGAGCGTCAAGTGGCATTCATCTGATTTGTTTTGTTGTTGTTGAAAATGTTAAATGCCATTATTATCTTCCCCATTATTATCTCTCGTCGTTTAATTCAGGCAGACTACGACATCCTTGAAGCATGTTATTTTAATTAACATGGGCCTTATGACCAGTGAAACATTATGATTTCATTATTCTTTTATTATCTTTTTCTGCAAACTTTATATTTTAGCATCGCTTTTGTTGTTTTTTTAAACTGTCAAACACTTTGCCCCAGGCAACACAAGATACGTCTCAAAGTAAAGGAATGATTTTGATAAATAATTAACTCTCTTTGGTATATACATATCGGAGGTAGGATATAGGATGTGTACATTTTTACGAGGATGACAAAATACTTAAATCCTATGGTATTACATTTGTGGAAAAAGTTATGGCACTTTCTCTTTTTATAAATATTTATATGTTCATTTTGCTCAAGGCTGCACAAGATACGTCTCAAAATAAAGGAGTGTATTTGATAAATAATTAACCTTCTTGGGTACATTTATATCGCAGGAAGGTAATAGGATGTGTACATTTTCACGTGGATGACAATATATTTAAGTCCTATGTTATTACATTTGTGAAAAAGAGATGTTGCATTCTCTTTTTACAAATTGGGTAAATTCATTTTGCCCAAGGCAATACTAGAAGAAATAACCCGATGTCATCGGTATAATAATGGTAGGTCTTTGCGATAATTTCTAACTGCTATTGTAAAAATTCATCACAATCCATAAGTTTAAAAATATAAAGATTTTTACGTTTCTATCATTATTAAATTTTGATATATATTTATATATATATATTATACGCCTACCCTACTCCCTTTCACGCTCCTAAACTACTTTTTCCCCTTCTAATCATGATCTTAAATTACCCAGTGAAAATCATAAATATAATTGATTGGTTTTTAAATTATTAATAAAACACACAATGATTTTAGGTTTGTATTTTTAACATTTAATAAGTTTTTACTTTTTTTAAATTAAAAACAAAAATCCTTTTATTACTTTACAATGTAATAAAAACGTAACCTTTAAATATACTTATAATAAGAAAATGCCGTTAAAGTGCAGCGAGACGCCATAGCCTAATAGCATTCACTAATCCACTTACAACCCATCCAAATAAGAACAAGCCATAAGAAGTGCAAACGATTTTAATTTGTAATAGAAGGGACTAAAATCTGGTGGATTTTATTTTATTTTTTTTTTATCTCGTGTGTGGGGGGGGGGGGGGGGG